TGTTTTCCATAGTGGCTGTACTAGTTTACATTCCCACCAACAGTGTAAAAGTGTTCCCTTTTCACCACATCCACACCAACATCTATTATATTTTGATGTTTTGATTATGGCTATTCTTTGGGGAATAAGGTGTTATTACATTGTGGTTTTGATTTGCATTTCCCTCATCATTAGTGATGTTGAGCATTTTTTCATAAGTTTGTTGGTCATTTGTATATCTTCTTCTGAGAATTGTCTATTCATGTCCTTAGCGCATTTTTTGGATGGGACTGTTTGGTTTTTTTCTTGCTGATTTGTTTCAGTTCTTTGTAGATTCTGGATATTAGTCCTTTGTCAGATATATAGATTGCAAAGATTTTCTCCTACTCTGTCGGCTGTGTTCTTTCTCTGCTGATTATTTCTTTTTCTGTACAAAAGTTTTTAGTCTAAGTCCCAGCTGTTTACCTTTGTTTGGGTTGCATTTGCTTTTGGGTTCTTGGTCATGAAGTCTTAGCCTAAGCCAATGTCTAGAAGGGTTTTTCCAATGTTATCTTCCAGAATTTTTATGGTTTTAGGTCTTAGATTTAAGTCCTTGATCCATTTTGAGTTGATTCTTTATAAGGTAAGAAATGAGGGTCTAGTTTCATTCTTCTACATGTGGCTTGCCAATTATCCCACCACCATTTGTTGAATAGGATGTCCTTTTCCCACTTTGTGTTTTTGTTTGCTTTGTTGAAGATCAGTTGACTGTAAGTATTTGGCTTTATTTCTGGGTCTCCTATTCTATTTCATTGGTCTATGTGTATATTTTCATACCAATACCATGTTGTTTTGGTGACTATGGCCTTATAGCATAGTTGGAATCAGGTAATGTAATGCCTCCAGGTCTGTCCTTTTTGCTTAGTCTTGCTTTGGCTATGTAGGCTCCTTTTTGGTTCCATATGAATTTTAGGATTTGTTTTTTCTAGTTCTGTGAAGAATGATGGTGGTATTTTTATGGAAATTACATTGAATTTGTAGATCGCTTTTGGAAATACGGTCATTTTAACAAAATTGATTCTAACCACTGATGAGCATAGGTTGTGTTTCCATTTGCTTGTGTCATCTGTTATTTCTTTCAGCAGTGTTTTGCAGTTTTCCTTAGAGAGGTCTTTCACCTCTTCGGTTGAGTATATTCCCAAGTATTTTTGTTTTTGCAGCTATTGTAAAAGGGGTTGAGTTCTTGATTTGATTCTCAGTATGGTCACTGTTAGTGTATAGCAAAGCTACTGATTTGAGTACAGTAATTTTGTATCCTGAAATTTTGCTGAATTTATTTATCAGTTCTAGGGACTTTTTGGATGAGTATTTAAGGTTTTCTAGGTATATAATCACATCATCAGCTAGCAGTGACAGTTTGACTTCCTCATCACCAATTTGGATGCCCTTTGTTTTTCTCTCTCGTCTGATTGCTCTGGCTAGGACTTCCAGTACTATGTTGAATAAAAGTGGTGAGAGTGGGCATCCTTGTCTTGTTCCAGTTCACAGGGGGAATGCTTTTAACTTTTCCCTGTTGGGTATAATGTTGGCTGTGGGTTTGATATAGATGAGATTTTAACGAGGGTTTTAATAATAATGGGATGCTGAGTTTTGTCAAATGCTTTTTCTGTGTCTATCAAGATAATTATGTGATTTTGTTTTTAATTCTGTTTATATGGTGTATCACATTTATTGACTTGCAGATGTTAAACCATCCTTGCATCCCTGGGTCATACTAAATTTTGAGAAATTAAAAACTTTTCTCTAAAATCAGAACAAGGCAAGAATGCCTATTCTCATCACTTCTTTTCAACATAGTACTAGAATGTCTATCCAGAGCAACTTGGCAAGAAAAAGAGATAAAAATAATCCAAATCAGAAAGTAAGAAGTAAAATTGTCTCTGTTCACAGATGACATAATCTTACATATAAAAAACCCTAAATATTAAACAAAAAATCTGTTAGATCTCACAAGCAAATTCAGTGGTTTCAGAATGCAAAATCACTGTAGAGAAAATTATTATCATTTCTAAATGCTAAAAAAAAAACTAAAAAGTAGCATCAAGGCCAGATGTGGTGGCTCATGCCTGTAATCCCAGAACTTTGGGAGGCTGAGGTGGTCAGATCACTTGAGGTCAGGAGTTTGAGACCAGCCTGGCTAACATGGTAAAACCTCATCTCTACTAAAAATACAAAAAATTAGCTGGGCATTGCGGCATATGCCTCTAATCCCAGCTACTGGGGAGGCTGAGGTGGGAGAATCATTTTAATTTGGGAGGCAGAAGTTTCAGTGAGCCGAGATCATGCCACTGCACTCCAGCCTGGGTGACAGAGTGAAATTTCATGAAAAAAAAAAGCAAAATAAATAAATAAAGTAGCATCAAAAATTATAAAATACTTAGAAATAATCTTAACCAAGAAGGCAAAGCACTTGTGCTATAAAAACTATAAAACATTGATAAAGGAAACCAAAGAAGACACAGATCTATGGAAATACATCTCATGCTTATGGACTGATAGGGTTAATATAGTTGAAATGCAATCTAATAATTCAGTGTGATCCCTACCATAATCCCAATATTATTTTTTGCAGAAAGAAAAAAATTCTAAAATTCATATGGAATATTATGAAATCCCTACTAACCAAAATAACCTTGAAAAAGAACAAATTTGGTTGCCTCACACTTCCTGATTTCAAAATATGTTCCAAAGCTACAGTAATTGAAACAGTGCAGTGCTGACATAAAGACAGACATAGAGACCAATGTAAGAGGATAGAGTCCAGTAATAAACTCTCACACATATGGTCAAATAATCTCCAAAAGTTGCCAAGACCACACAATGGGGAAAGAACAATCTCTTTAACAAATGATGCTAGAAATACTGGGTATCCACAGGCAAAAGAATCAAGCTGAATCCTTACCTAACATCATATACAGAAATTAACTCAAAATGTTTTAAAGACCAAAACAAAGGCCTAAAACTGTAAAACTCCTGGAAAAAAACATAAGCAAAAAGAGTCATGACATTGAAATTGGCAGTATATTGGATATGAAACCAAAATCACAGGGAGCAAAAGCAAAAAAAAAAAAAAATAGAAAAATGGAACTCCATCAAACTAAAAAATTTCTACAAAGCAAAAGAAACAATCGGCCGGGCGCGGTGGCTCAAGCCTGTAATCCCAGCACTTTGGGAGGCCGAGGCGGGTGGATCATGAGGTCAGGAGATCGAGACCATCCTGGTCAACATGGTGAAACCCCGTCTCTACTAAAAAAAAAATACAAAAAATTAGCTGGGCATGGTGGCGCGTGCCTGTAATCCCAGCTACTCAGGAGGCTGAGGCAGGAGAATTGCCTGAACCCAGGAGGCGGAGGTTGCGGTGAGCCGAGATCACGCCATTGCACTCCAGCCTGGGTAACATGAGT